CTCAATTGCCTTCAGCCATTTCTGTGCCGCTTCAGGATCCAAAATTCCTCCTTCAAACGTCGGTGGCTTGTTACTCTGAAACTGTGCCAAATCTCTGAATTGCGCACCCGCAGCTTGGTTCTGATTAGCAACCACCTGCGCCATCGCTTGCATAGCTGCAGCCAAAGCAACATCATTCCTTCCTGCCATACTGCTCAACCAAAACAACACTAGGTTAAAAGGTACATAACCTCTATCCTACGGACAGACTCGACTACTACACTGGCCGGACGAACCGACCTGCTCTGATACCAACTTGTAACACCCCACTTCCCAAATTAAAATAAAATATGATTAAATCAAATAAATATCAGAGTCTCCCTTCAAAAGTGGGATATCACATTCACACAAAATTCAACAAAACACTTCATTAGATGGTTTCAAAAATATACAGCGGAAACAATCATTAATACATCACTCTCGGCCATCCGCCAATTTACATAAAACATTCATTCATCATCAAGGTTCATCAAGATAAGATATGTCAAAGGAATAAACAAATTTATCATAAAACAAATAAACTCCCAAGTCTCGTGTTACGTATCAGAGCATCCTAGGACTCAACTCGCACACCACTATCCAAGCTAGCTATGCACCTGGATTATCTGTACTTCCGAAGAAGCACAAACCACCACAACAACAAAGGGGTGAGAAAACATGATCAAAATTATCGGTAATAAAATACATGAATAAAAGGCAGTAAATAAAAAAATCATCACCCCACCAACATCAAACACGACCTACTGTCCATTCATTAACACAACATACAATAATGCAAGAATGCAACTCAACACCATGCATACGGTACGGACGAATCGCATACACTCCTCCTGAGCAACGATTCGTCCCACCATCCTCCACAAAGGAATACGGATGGATCGCATACACTCCTCTTGAGCAACGATCCATCCCACCATTCTCCACAAGGGAGTACAGGTGAATCGTGTACACTCCTCCTGAGCAACGATTCATCCCACCATCCTCCACAAAGGAGTACGAATGGATCGCATACACTCCTCCTGAGCAACGATCCATCCCACCATTCTCCATAAGGGAGTACGGGTGAATCACGTACACTCCTCCTGAGCAACGATTCATCCCACCATGACACCATGATATGCACGACACCAAATGCACAAATACCAAACATCAAGCACACTAAGTGCACACGATCCTACTAATCACATCACCATGCATCATACATATATATACACACAAGTCGATTATGTTATTCAAATTAAATAATAGGGAAATTTTCATTTGGACACCGAGCACACACGATCTTCCTGATCACTTCACTATGCCTTATATACATATTACATACATATGTGTTACCCACCAATTAGTTATGTCAATTAAATTCAATATTCCATAATTTCACCTTTCAACACCAAGTATACACTCTTCACCACTAAGCACCATCTCTCTACCTATCACAACCCAAGGAATCCTACGAAATGAATTACAAAGCAAAACAGCACAAAATCACGTTTTGTCACGCTCGCTGGCTTACTCACCTAGCGAGGCCTCAGCGAACGCTCGCTGCCTCATTCGCCTAGCAAACTTGCTAGCGAAGGCAGACAGTGGCTACTGGAAGTGTTCGCTACCCATCTCGCCTAGAGAATCCTTAGCAAGTGCTCGCTACTAGCTCGCTCAGCGAAGGTGCTGGCGAACGTCTGCGATTTCACAAAACCCCCATTATTCAGAAATTCATCAGAAGCTCAAAACCCATCTGATTCTCACCAAACCAGTCCCAGTAGTCTTAGTCTAGCATTCTACGACTAAACCACACTAGTTATTTCAGACTTTGCCCGATAAAACATCAACTCTACCGATTAAATCATTTTCGACCTAAAATGGTAAACTACCCGGAACACCCAACAATTCCTACATAATCACATGCAAGGCTAGAATACCAGAGTTTCACCAACTCATAACAACATAAGCACAATTCATCCATGGAAGCAACAATCAGAAACACAACACCATGCCAATCATGTTCATCAAATCTCTATGGGGTTAAGGAATCCCTAACTACCCAATTCATGCGATTACCAATCCCTGTCCGTTTCTCCCCCCTTACCTCAATTAATCGCTTCGATCGTTGAAGAATTCCCAAGAATACGACAGCCTAGCCTTCTTCTTCTTCCTCTTGCTCTTCTTCCTCAATTTTTCTCCCACTAGACCGTGTTCATCTTTTCTCCTCTCCAAAACTCTCTAATACCCTTCTAATTCCTCATTTCTTTTATTCCCATAATAATAATACCAATAATAATAATAATAATAAATATAATAATAATAATAATAATAATAATAATAAAAATATTAATAATATTATTACTATTAATTATCAAATTATCATCATTATCAATTATATTATATTAATATTAAGGTATATAGTTTCTTAAATAATCTCCACAAAAGACATGCCGAAATAAAATAACACCGGAAAGATTAAATAATTAAAATGGGTGTTACACTGACCAACCGTTGGGCACCGCCTAGCCCAACTCCTCGTCGACAAAGGCCCAATGAAGTTCCAATCCATTAACTCACGCGGGGAACACTCACGCGTCTTCCCCACGGTCTCCACGTGCTCCTAGCGCAGGGACACGTCATCAGGAAACTACCCGCGTCTGAAAGAACAGGTCACCCACTTTCCGAAGATCACAGAGAAGTTGGACCAAGATGAAGACCACACACTGGTATTCCCTATACCACGTAGATCCTGGTAGTTACTCGTATTGGACCTAGTGATCCAACCCAATGCAAAATAACCATTCGCCCAGGGCTGGGGGCACATTATAAATACCCTCTTCCACTAGAGGGTCAGGTATTCTATTATCTACAATTTGTACTTGCTCTCTCTTTACTTCGTTTCTTACTTTGGCATTAGAGTACCTTGCAGGTACACCCCCTCCTCTTCACCACTACCGGTAAACTAGGAGCTTACAACGCGTTCTGACTGCTGATCTCATTCTGGTAAGATAAGATCAGTATCTATAATATTCTATAAGAACCTCTTGCGTATATTTGTGCTTACTGTTGATTAGTCATCTGCTGTGTATTGAGGATTTGTTGGCTTGTTTTGAGTGATACGAATGGGAAATGTTTTTGTTGTTTTTGTAGGGTAAGTAGAAATGGTTTAAGAAAAAGGTATAGTAACCTAAGAGTTTTATTTATTACTGTACTCGCTAAGATTACGCAATCTTATGCCTACATATTCTCAAAAGAAAATTGAGAAATCAGAGTGTTCGTAGTTCTAGCTACTAATTGGTGGAATTGGGTTTGTTGGGTTTAAGATAAAAGACAAGTTATCATCTTAATGGAGATATCTCACCTATTCACTACAAACATTTTGAGAAAATATACAGAGAAGAAGTTTTGAACTTGGATGTAGAAAATCCAGAGGAATGTCACATCTTCCTTTGAATGAGTCTTTACATTTTAAGAGAAGGACCTTGACTTGGATATAAAATCAACAAGTGTGTCACTTACATCACTTAAATGAAAGAAGTGTTTTTGTACCATAGCAAGAGAAGTCCTCCAGCTTGGATATTGAATCAACAAGTGTGTCACTTACATCACTTAAATCAAAATGAGTTTGAAAATGCTTGATCTATGTTGTGGAGAATATAAAAGACACCTCTTCTAGAAAGATGACTCATGTCTTATCTCTAGGAGAAAAGTTTTGAATTTGAAGTCAAAATTTGACTAGAGTTTGACTTGAAGTTTAAGGTTTGAAGCCACATAACAAAATACAAATAAATTCAAATTCAAATTCAAAATATAGTCATCACACGTAACAAAATAAAAATCTAAATAAATGTTAAACAAAATCTAATTACATCATAACCTAAATAACAAAAAACTAGTAATGTCTAATAAATTTAATTTTAAGGATCGAAAGTTGTTTCAAATAAGTTTTGAACAAAATTTATTTGTATTTTAATTTTAATTTTTTAAACACAATTATCAAAAATGGCATCGTTTTTTCTAAGAAAAAAAGGAATTTAATATGTCGATTTGTTAAAACCAATGATTCACCGATTTTTATCAATTTTGACCGTTTCTGACCGATGTTCACTAGTTCAATAGTTTACTCAATCTAGTATTTAGACCAGACCGATAACCCCTCTAATTCTTTGATCAATCAGTTCGATCGACGAGTATGTTCCAGTTTTTAAAACAATGCATGTAATGGATAAATACTGAAGAAAATTTAGTAGCAATAGTATTTCGTTTTAAACTCGGCAATAATATTTGTTTTCATCTTTTCTTGTACATCTTGTATTTCAAGTATTTCATTCTACAATTTTATTTTATTTTATATGATAATGTTTATTAATGACATTAAATTCTATCAAAATTATAATCTTTTGGTATTGAACCAGCGATCTTCAGTTTTCTAGAACTATTAGTTTTAAAATTTTAAAATTAAGAAAATAATTTTTATAAATAATTTATTGTCAATTTTGTATTAACAAAACAGGACATAATATTCATTTTTTATTTTTAGGTAGCATTTCTTTTTTGCTCAATAGTCCATATAAACAAACACAAATACATTAATCAACACCAAGAGATAAACTGGTGATCTGGATCCTATGTGTTTGATTTTAAATGAATTAATAATTTATTTTTAAAGAATTTAATTAAGCGTAAAATAATTTATATATAGATATTTTCATATAAAAATATTTGAATAACTAATTTAAAACTAAAGACACTCTGGAGGTAAAATCATCAAATCTTATTTATAAAATAAATTTGAATCAATTATAATAGACTAAAAATCATTTTTATACCAAAACATTTAAAAAAATATTTCTAGTAATTCTCTTTTTATAAAGAAATCTGTTGCAACTACCAAATTGCCATGTTAAAAAATCCCTATAAAAGCATCATTAGAGTTCTAACAACTTTCATCTAACAATAAGAAATTTACATTGATAACTAAAATGAGTTCATTTTCTATATTGTGTATTTTGAGTTTGATACTCATTGTGAGTTGTAGTAACATTGCAAGCGCCCAAGACTCACCAGCCGATTATGTGAACGTCCACAACGCAGCAAGATCGGCCATTGAAGGTTTCAACATTCCAAATCTTGTTTGGGACAACGAAATTGCGGCTTTTGCGCAAAGCTATGCGAATCAGCGCAAGGACTGTAAAGCGGTTCCCTCGGGCGGTAATGGTGGACGGTACGGTGAGAATGTTGCCATTAACAATGGTGAGATAAGTGGTGCAGAAGCAGTGAAGTTGTGGGTGGATGAAAAACCTCAGTTTGATCGCTATCATAACAAGTGTGTTGGTGGTGAGTGTGTTCATTATACTCAGGTGATTTGGGAAAAGTCATTGCGTGTTGGATGTGGGAAAGTGAAATGTGATAATGGAGGAACATTTGTTACTTGTAATTATTATCCTCCTGGAAATATTCCAGGTCAAGAACCATTCTAAGTGTTTTATTATTTAATCATTATTTGTTTATGATTTGTGTATTCTGTTGTAATATTTCTCAGTTAACAAATAATATTCACATGAACTCACATTTGTAGTATTTTATAAGTGAATTCTATCTCTCATTCATTCACCTCACCTTCTTTTCTTTTTAAAAAAATAATTCTATCTCATTTTACGATCGATTAATTCAAAAATATCAATTTCATATCAGTTGATTTACAACTGTGCTAAGAAAATTTTGTATGGACTCACCTCACCCTCCATAAATTGATCTTAGATAAAATAACCTATCAATTTTATGATATGTATAAAACTAATCTAAACAAATATTTATGTATTGGAGTAAGGATATAACTCTCTTCTTAGTTATGTGACATCCAAGTTAATAATTTTTAATGATGGGGAGGCTCTATATTTTTAAATAAAGGACATAAATGAGGCCATTAACATCCAAGTGAAAATGATGTGGTGTTTGGAGAAGAATTTCTGAATCTTATTAGTCAATTTGTATTTTCGAACGTATTAAGAAATATATATATATAGATATATATTATTAAAAATCACAAAATGACTATAACCATATTGTTTGATGGAGAAAAGAGAGAGCAAGAGAGCATTAGAGATTCCTAAAAAACATTCAACCCTAAAAGAGAGAAATAAGAAATAGTAAAAAAAAAAAAAAATTTAAACAATTGAAAAAATCGAAAAGATTCTGTGAAGACAATATCAATTTTAAAGACGTCCACCACCAAGACTTGAAGACAAAAGCCTATCACACTATGAAGTCAATAGAAACGCAAGTCTTTTTGCAAAAAAAATACATTTTCCTCTACAAACCCGAATCACAAACCAACAACCTCTACTTATTCAGACTTCGAGAAGGTTTCGACACATCAATAGTATTGTGGGAATCCAAAATTAGAATATTATCATATTCAACAAATCCTTATTCACCTTTGTCTTACATGAAAGAATGAAGTCATTTTAGAATTTCCAAACCACTACGTGTCAAACTAGTATATAACCATACATGGCCTAGACCTATTACCATTGGTATGAACCAACTCAAATAGGAAACTCAACTCTTCAGGGAGTAACAACAATCATCCTAGCCACCTAAATATTTTATGCCAAATTTTTATATTACCACACAAGTCACAAGATATTTCCTAACAATCTCTCCGGACCATTGACATTGGCCACAAAAAGACCTAGAAGATCAACTATTATAGGACGACTAAAAAAGGTTGATCCTATTACGAGCTATATCTTGAAGTAACATGGAAGAGAACAAAATCACCTTATAAAGACTCATTTCTTTTAGAGAAAAGGAAAAATTTTCCAAACCTCTGATAATGGATCATCCGAATAGAAATCAAAATCAAAAAGAACAAAATGAAAATTTTTAATCGAGAACAATCTCCCTTTAACATGATTCCATCACAAAGCATCCCCACCCTCAATATAGGTGTCAGTCTGAATATCTGAAACAAGATTACTAACCAACTTCGCCTCCAATGCATAAAACCATTCCTTTTGCTAAGATACCAAACTCACAACCCTTTCTACCAATGTCCTAAAGATACAATGATTAGTGGTTTCCTCTTTCGAAAAGTGAAATAGGTGGTGAAAGCTTCGCATAAATTCATTAAGGAATATTTTCTCCCATCAAGGAGGGAGTTGAACCAAGTCATCACAGATCCGATTAAAGTTAAAGCAAAGATCTTGCAATTTACAGCCTCGTGGAAATGGTAGTAGTCTAATCAATCAATCATGTGCTCGAAGTAATCATCAGGATCTCTGGTCCTATCATACCACATGGGTTTTTTTATCTTTCCCTCCTTCGGGGACAATAGACCCAAGGAGGAACATAACTATTATTTTCCCGTTCAGGATCAGGAAGAGCGGTTATGTGTTTGTTTTATTGTTGATAACTCGGAAACTTCTATAAATTTTCATAGTGTGTCTTTGTTTTGACAAACATCAGTTCAGGATGACAATTTGGTTTTCTTAGAAGGTTTCCTTTTACATGATGTTGTTCTTCAAATTGACGTGTTTTCGGCTCTCTTCAACTTGAATATTCTTTTTGCCATGGCTTGATAATGTTACTATTGAACCATGTTGTAAACATTGACCACCAGATTGTATGCTCCCTGTAGAACAAGGTTGGCTTGTAGTAGTTTAAATTTGAGAAGCATCTCTTATCAAGGTATTACAGTAGTGGTGAATGTCTTTGTGAAGGCTCTCCCTTATTAAATTATTTCACGGATCCAAGGAACCAAAGACATTGGAATACTCATTCGCCTTCTCAAGGTTGAATATGATCTTTTTATGAAAGATTGGACGATGATGCTACCAAAACTAGATTGTCCACTCTTAGAGGAAGAGGAAATGTATCTTTGGTAGTTTCACTAGTGATAGAAGTAGTTTACTATTGAATGGCTAAAATAGATATTTTGGATATGAAATAGATTACTTTGAGAGAAGGTTGAATTTAGAGGGGGAAGATCGGGAAACAGAGATTTTCAACTCTATGGATAGAGATTTCAATTTATGGATAAAAATAGGTATAATTAAGGAAATTGTGAAATAGATATTTGAACATGAAGATTCACAGGAATCATATTTTGATTCTTATAAACAAAGCAAATGTTTCCTTTTGGAACCAGATTGATCAGTTAACGTAGGGTTAAAGCTTGCTGCAATGGACATGAGCTTAGGAGGATGACCTCCAAGATTATCACTCCAACACTCAAGTCAATATGAGAGAGGGGAAAATAATGTGATAATGATAATGGAATTGAATTGTCATAACTGCGAAAAAACCGGCGGAAACAAACAGAAGAGTCGCCATCTAGCGTTATTTATCCCAAATAGAGGAAAAGGAAACGATCGAAGAAAACCTGAAGAACGGGAAAAGACAAGGTCATCGCAACCAAATCTTGTGTTCAGGAGTCGGTTACGCAAGAGGAAGGTATGAGCACCTCTCACGTATGTTGTACTCAACAAGATCCATGCTTATTTTCTAATCAAAGGGTGTGTTATCTAAACGCTACTGCTAAACGGAAACGAGAACAAAGAAAAAGAGCCTCAATAGGACATCACTGCCTTATGCCTACGTATTCCCTCGTGCAATGGGAAAGTCAGAGTTAATGTAGTTCGGAAAACTACGGGTGATGGGGGAAGGTTGCTCGCCAAGACATCATCGTCTTATGCCTACGCATCCTCATCTAGTATGAGAAATCAGAGCAAACGTAGTTCGAGTAATGACGAAACCACAGGTTGGTTAAGTGTTTTTTATGAGCGACGATAAGTTCCCATTCTAGCAGTTAGAGTCGATACCTATTTGCGATAGAACAGAAAAGTAACGTACTCCTTATGAAAATAAGTTTGAAACACATATTCCGAAGGATAAAAAGGTTTGACTTTTGTTTGTGAGTTTTAGTGAAGTAGATTAATTTGCTTTGTGATTCACGTTGCACTAAAGACTATGATATATGATCGATTGTGTCGCATATCGTCCACGGGGCATACACTAGACACTCTAGACAAGTGAGAAGAAACCCCCAACTCATCATTTCCCATATGCTTAAGGCTCGTGGCGCACAATGTTCATCGTCTTTATTAAGTGTGTTAGCATTGTTTTGAGATGAGAAGAGAGACGCACAGAAGGTATAAGAGAAACTCGGTCCTAACGTTGTCATGAAAAGTGGCCCTAAGGTCGGGATGCGAAAGGAAATTCTCCTAATGTTAGCATGCAAAAGATGGACCTAAGGTTGAGGTTGAAAGGGACTAGCCTATTTGTTATCTTGCATGGATTACAATACTAATGTTTATCCTACTCCACGCTTAATCGGAAATTAAGTTGGACTAGGAAACTTAAGGAGACATTCAAAGGCAAGGAAAAAGCAAGAAAACAAGGTAAAAATAGCAGATACAACATCATTTAACAGCTACTAATTCAGCATAAAAGTAGGTGTAAAAGGCAGGCAACAAGCAAGCATAACATAGACAACATGTAAATTCAGAATAAGACAACTATAAGAAGCAGGGCAGCAAGCATGGTTCAATGCAATCAACGTGAACAAACATCAATCATGAACAAGTATCATGCAAGGACGGACATGCATCAACAATCAAACATAAATGCTCAATCAAATTGAATCATTAATAATCAACAAGATCAACATGCTTTTCATATCAATTAAACGATTAAACGAACATGCTACAAACGGAGTCGGAAGCAAACACAAACATGCATCACAAGTCCAGCAAGATAATCATTAACAATTAATCATTAACATGATGCAAACAAGCAAAGCATATGATCATCACATTAAGCAAGTAACATGAACATTCTAAGCATTCAAAAGGAAACCAAAAGTCACACGTCGAAGAATCCAAATCAAACAATCAAGCATGATGCAACAAGTCAAAAAACAGTTCACACAAATGCACCATATCAATCCATGAAGGTTAGAGGTGGAATGAAATCAAAACATGCTTGAAAACAACCAAAAATCACATTCTAGTCCAGTGTTAATCGATTAACCATTTTCCAGTGCAAACTAGTTAATCGATTAACCACTTGAAAATGTCAAAATTTGCACTGGTTAATCGATTAACCAGTTTTGTACTGCAACTGCTTATTCGATTAACACTATACCAGAAGCAGAAAAATAACAATTCAAAAGTACTTTCAACAATTAATTCAATGTGCAATCATCCAAATGATCATGTAATCAATTATGCACGAATTTAACACCAAAAATTAGCAATCAAACATCAATCAAACTTAATTAAGCATTGAAATCAAAAATCACATAGGTCAAAATCACCAAAATCAATTAAAACTTGAAGATCTAAATTGTGATTATCCAAATAAGCTCAAAATAGAAATGGATATAAAATTAACCAACCTTCAAAGCTGAGATTTTCTTTGGTAATTGTTGATTCACTGTATATTGATAAATCCAAGCTAGAAACTCAAGAAATCT